TTTGGTCTTGTGGAAGTTCATGAATGTCTAAGAGGCTGAGGATTGTAATTCAGTGCGCACACACACCTTCTTATTATGCTAGAAGCATTGGGGGAAAAAACATGGCATATTGTGAAATGTAAATTGTAGAAAGATAGAGACATTTTTGTATGCTGCAAAGAAGATAGAACCTAAAAGTGCCATCTTTCATTAATGACATTTAAGAATCCCAATTTATATTGGGAGATATTCAAGAGTGGTGTTTTCTCAACATACTAATGCCCTTAATACAGTTACAAGAAAAGAAGAATCAGTCACTGAAGCAGTAACTGTTTGAAATGTACTTCACACGATCCCTGGGGTAAACAAAATAAACCTCAGCTGTGTGCAAGGCTGTGTCAATAAGCCAAGACCACATCTAGCAGCACACTTAACTAGATGATTCCAACTGAAGCCTCCAACTTAAAAAGAAAATAAAATCATGATTAGATGCATTCTTGAAATTCAGGTCTCAAGGCCAAATACAGATCCTAACATTCACGGTACATAATTGGGTTATGCCTCAACAGAATTTCAGGAAGACTAGCAAGCACGTTTGAGGAACAGAATTGCATTTGCTATTTCTGCTGAAGGCAACTTGTATACAACCCTTTGAAATTTTCCTGATAAAGCCTTTTAGAGCTTTAAAAAAATAGCTATGTTTAAATGATTTATGGAAAAGAAAAGCACAGCCAGTCTTTGTATTTTGTGAACAAGCTAACTGTTTTATTAATGAAGGCAAATATCAGATAAATATTAGGGGGGGATCTTTTTAAAATAAAATCAAAACTGACACCACTGTATTTCAGAAGTGTCTGGTTGCTTTTAGGTTAGTTAAAAGACCCTTCATCCATTTTAGGTTTTTTTTGGTTGGTTGGTTGGTTGGGTTTTTAAAAAAAAAAAAACTTTTTTCCTGGCCCTCTTAGTATGGAAAAAAGTCTATTTATAATGAATTAGGAACTGAACACAGCTGAGCCTGACTCTCACATCAGCTTTACAGCAATGCAACTTCATTAAATCACAATGATTCCAACGGGTATGATAAGAAAATCCAGCCCATCCACACGTAAACATAGCTTTAGTAGTAAGACTCTCTCATCCAAAAAGTACTCACCAAGTATCAGTAAATGTGTTCAATAAACCATAAAAGGAAGCGTTAGCAAAAGGGGTTTAGGGCTAAAAAACACCCTTCATGAGCACCCCCACATTTTGCAAGGCCATTCAAAAACTGGTCTTCCATATAAATACAAAAAGGACTACTATTGAGAGAAACTGAAATCAGATCTATCCAGACTTTCTTCAGGATGCTTTTATCAGTTCTGATTCAATTTCAGAAGGGTTAGGTTTGAAGAGTTCAGAGGGAACAAAAAACATTTAGTTCTAGATGTACAAGTAAGGCACAATATAAAGCCACATCATCATCTGTCATGAAGGAAGTAGGAAAGGACGCGAATCATACATGGTACAGTAGAACAAGCAGTCCATCAATTCAAAGTGTGGCACCTAAGTTCAGACTGACGAGATCTCAACAAGAGCAGTTATGACAGCATGCTTTTAACATGGAAACAAATTCTAGAGAATCCAGTGTATCAGAAAAAGGAAGAGCTTTTGTTTGTATTGAATCAAAAATGTATAATTGTTTTTGGATATAGGATTAAAAGTGAATATTCACAATGCCTACACTCAAAAACAAACAAAAAAATCCAGGACTTCATTAAGATCCACATACCATGTATGAACACTGAAAATCTTTAGAAAATGGTCTTCTCTAAAGATCATCCAAAAAATGCATGCCACAATTGCCAAAAAACAGAACATGTACATTTGTTGGTTTTTATACCCTTATAAGATTTTTGTTTGTGATAAGTATACACTAAATGTATATATTTTAATGACACTAGAGGAAGCAGATTGTTACTGGCATTAAAGTACAACCATTTCTAGACGGTTTAAATGCCACAGAGTCCCCTGGTTAAAATGTAAAGCTGCACAGCTTGCCTATGTCACCTTTATGATAAAGTTAAACCAGCAAAAGGTCTTATCTTTACTCTACATTTTACTGCCAGGTTTTATTTATATCAAGTATCGCTGCAGCATTCTGACCAGCCCAGAGTTAGCAGCAAGTGGCAGGGATCATATAAAACGCAGTTTCTTTTTTTTTTTTTTTTTTTAAACAAAGTGCTTTTCTAAGATATACATACATATAAATAGGTACAAAATAAAGTGTCAACATTAAAAAGCTCAACTATTTAAAAGCTTTAACTTAAAATAATACATAGAAAACACTGAAATGCAAGGGTATGGAATTCACTAAAGATTCAAAGTCTACTTTGAAATGCTAGACCAAAATCATATTCTGGTTTTCAGACAAAAATAAAAAGCTACAAAGTTACATTTGCCCAGTATTTCCGAGCAGTGAAAAAGGGGCTTTTTAATACCTTGTCAGTTTGTCACAGAAGTTTTTACCTGATTGCAAAACTGCTCTCTTAATGTTTAGAAATGCTGCCTTGTCTACACAGTTTGGATAGAGCATAAGGACCTCTCGTATCTGAGCAGTGCGTTAACACCATTCATCAGAAAGGAACAACAGTATTCAAATCTTAGTACAGACATGGCCTTAACTTCACAAGAGACATTCTTTGTCGGGGTTTTATGGGCCGTATGCATCTCCGGAATAACTGCAACATCGGCAATAATTACAATAGGAATACATCTGACCCACTGTGTAAAGCAGCAGCCAACTCTCACCTCACCCTAACAACAACAACAAAAAACACCTGAAACAAAAACACCCACATTCCACTCAGATTTTGCAAGTCTTAAGTGGATTTACAAAGTTTTGCCTAAATTGCCCTGGGTATTTGTTCAGTCTCTTGTAGGAAAGACTTTCTGTACAGCTCAGTAGTGGTATTTTGGCCTCCTCCTCCCTTCTGAGTCTTCCAAAATATTTAGATACAAAGTAAGCTGTGTGCACACTCACAAGTATGTGGCAGGGCTGCCACCTTCATCGGCCACTCTTACTGCACTATTACCGATTCAGACTTTTTTTTTATAGTACAAGCTTGGATATAAAAATAATCTACTTATAAACAAAAAGGAATCACAGTACAAACAAACTTAGACAAACTAGAAGTGGAGAAATTCCCCAAAGGGAGTGGGGAGAAAGCCTTCATGGACTTTTGCATTTTTTTTCAGCAGCTACATTTGAAAATATTTGGTATTTCTATTTTCAGTAAACAGTGTTTTGTCATCTTTAAATAGGGAGAGAAAGAACAGGGAGGAAAAGGGGGGGGTCCATGAAACCAGAGAATGATCTTGCCTTGAGATAAAGGACTTTCTCATCAAAGGCTAAAGCTTTTAATCTGTACGTTAACACTGACTACAAAGCCAACTCTTATTAGCAGAAGAGCAAATAAGAACTGTGTGTTAATATTCCTCAATCATAGAAACTACTGAATTAACAAGAATAAGTCACATATAAGTTTGAAGAAGCTAGTTTCGAAATACCTGTACAAAAATATAAAAGTCTATAAATTTTTTTTTTGTTTTGTTTGAAGCCTGTGTTGATCCTTGGAAACATCACATGCATAATAATACATCAACTGGAAAAGTGGCAACTAAGGAATTAGATATTTGTAGCTCTTTTTTCTCTTTACATATATACACATTACAATAAAAATAATTTTATTTTGGTTGTTTGGTGGAAGTATACTACAACAAACTAAATATTTTTTTTAAATTCTCAAAGTTGAAAACTATTTTACCAATAGCTTACTAAAATCCAAATATATTAAAATCTCCTACAGTAAGTGCAGAGAAAAAAGATTTAAAGACTCCGAGACGGCCACCAACTTATCTACCATGGAAGCGAACTACAAGAACAGCAAAATAATATTGTTATGTATGAATGCTCCTTCTGTAGATAATTGGACCCAAACAAAAAAATTCACAGTTCAGTAAGATCCCTAACCCTGACCTTTAATTTTTTTTCTTTTTTCATTTGTTTTTACATTCAGTACAGTATCATATAAGCTGTGCAAAACTTTACTTAGACTGGCAGTTCGCCATATCAGTTGCATTTGTCTTTGGTACAAAAATAAACAATCGCATTAATGTGCAAGTATTTGTTTTCTTCCGGCCAAAGTACCGAAATTGAGTTTTCTAGAGCCATCTTTTATACAATACATAGACTCTGTGGCATATATCTACATTTTCAACATATTCCTATATACATTCAAAAATTTTAAGAGCTGGAACAAATACATTAAAACCCATAATCTTACCATCTATACATCTTGGTTTTTCCCCTCAGGGTTTTCTTCGTACAAAACTTTACCAGCTTATACTGATAGCTCTCCCCCCAAAATACAAGGCACAAAGAATATACTTTTTTTCTCTTGCTTGCACAGACATTTAAATACTATATTAAGCTCAGAAAATTAAAGTCTTATATGGCACACTAGCTCTACTGCCACGTGTGCTATGTACAAGTTAATGGTTGCAAAGAAAGCTTACTGTTTTTTAAAAGAACAAAAGAAAATCCAATTATTAAAAAAAAAAAGAAAAAAAAATTCCCTAAATTGACAGCTTTACCAAAAAAAACGCTTCCTCTTATTTTACTTGGAGCATAAACCTGTCACAATGTCTGGCATATGCTAAAAATTTTTACTAGCAAAACCATGGTTTTGCTTCTAAAACAAAAGTGATATATTCTGGTCCTAGATAATTTTAAAAAGAATCCTCATCTCTGTATTTAAGCTTAAAGCAGCTTTGAAACTATCTGGTTTATGCTCCAAAAATGCTATTAAGCATTTTATATCATGCTTTGATTTGTTTTACTACATTGTTACTTAAAAACAATGGAACCTAATTGTAGGTGTTTACATAATGCTAAACTGACATGCAGACCAGAATGCAATTTACAATGAAGTACTTGACAACACAGGTAGAATCTGACCAATGAGAACAGCTGAAATCATGTCTTAAACTTTTGACATTGGTATTCGTAGCCCTACAAGGCCACCGGTGGGGTCTCCTTCTGCAGTCTTCTCTAAAACTTGATTCACAAATTCTGATGTCTGTCCAGCTACAGGTAGTCCTAAAAAGGGAGGGTAAGAAAATGTGCTTTAAGGTTACTATTCATTGAAGGTATTTCTACATCCCTGTAAGTAATACAAAGCCAAGGAACACTTTGGTTAGTAACCAACCAAAAGACATAGACAACTGAAATTAGGAAGCGCTTCTTCCTTTTCTCTATTCTAGAAATTGTTTGCAATCTAACGCATCATAGATTATATGTCTCTTCACAGACATGCAAATACATGAAGTTTACTGCTTACCAAGAGTGTCTTTAATAAGTACGTTCAACTTTTGTTCCATGTTGACTCCTCTGTCATCTTTAGGTACCTGCACCCGATTAACTATTTCTTGTTTAATGGAGTTGATCACAAACAGCAAATTATCTGCAAAGAAAAAAACCTGGATTAGATTTACAGCACATTCCCCCTGGAGCAAAAGAGATCCACAGTTGTCCACACACTGTTATCTGTAAGTGTCAAAGGTGTCACATCACACTTACTGTAAAATTAAGATGTAATAGTTTACATCTGTAAACATATTTTCAAAAATATGGACATTACATGCATACATTTACATAATTTACATCTGTAAAGTAGCTCAACACTGCAGGTAACCCAATTTATGTACACATCATGGAGTGGACTGTTTTTGGACCAACAAAATTGTTGGGTTTGTACCAACCCTGTTTTCTCTATAAACTGCCAGGTATGACCCAGGTTACATGATGATGCAAAACACAGACTTGTCTGAACAAAAGAAAAATTAAGATGTGAAGAGTTGTATTTACCATATTCCGTGTTGAGACCCCAGAGTTTTACTTTATTGGCTTCATACTGGGCTTTCTTTTTTAGTCTACAAGCCCTATAGTAAGAAGAGGGGAAGAATTAGAACACTAACAAAAATTCCAGAATACTAAGAGCATCTGTTTGTTTGCCACACGAACTTATCAACCAATACTCCCAGTGCTGTGACGTACAAAATCATCTATCTAGTCACTCACCTTTGCTGAAAGCACTCTGCTACCTAGATTTGCTTACATTTAACACTTATGGATTTTATTACTGTATCAATCATTTGCCCTGCAGCTAAGCAAGCCAGCTTCCAGTGGAAATACATCGTTATCTAGGGAACGGGCAAACTACATCTCCGAAGTACCAGTTGCCCCGCTTTTTGATAAACGGGTAATTAGCCCATTGCAGAAGCAGGATCTCTTGAGGCAAAAATTAGTTAGATCTTAATCGTACAGTTGTAGCAATCCAAATTTACTCATCCATGTAGTGTTATCTAATATATACCTGGAAGCCAGCTTGTTCTTTTCTTTTCTTGACCTTGGTCTGGCAGTTAAGGGAAGTTCACTGACTGGCGTCAGGTCACTGATCACCTTATTCAGCTTCCTCAGTTCATTACCAATCTGTAGAAGTTTTCTGGGGTTGGGAGTCAGGTCTTCTACATCAGTCCTCCGTGACTTCTTTGCTGCATATTTTCCTGTTTAAAATATGCAGAAAATTGGGTTGGGAAGTGACACAATACATACACAAATCTGTGAAAAAACCTCTTAAATATAAGTATTTTTTTGGGTGCAGTTTCAGTCCCTTTGTTCATTACAAGAGAATGGACTGGAATCATGTAGCCTTTCACAATAGAAAGAACATTTCCAGACAAGCTGCTTTGTACAATTCATATCCAGATCAGATAAGAGCAAATACTGCTGGCCAGGCTACTGGATGTGATAGACAGTATACACACAACTGTGCTGAAGAATGTATGTCACAAGTTCCAACCCAGCTGTTTTGCCTCAAATGTAACTTGCTAACTCATGTGTTTAGCCAATATATCCTCTTGCATGCTCAAGCTGATTAAATTCCTAAATAATCTTATTGCTGAAGTTCTGTATTAAGAAAGAGTAAAGGTACTGAAACCATCTTCAGTGATACTGAACTTAAATGATCCATATAAAGGCTAGTCAACCCCTTTTATATGTATTTGAAGCTATTTAAGATCTGGTTTTCCGGAGGAAATACACATATTCAAGTCAAAATCTTTTCCTTAAGATTCTCTGCCACTGCTGTGTGTCTTTTTCTAGATTTCTATTAAAAATGCCAGTTTTTACAGACACTTGCATGAAAACGCTAATAACAAAATCTGCTCCAAAAATATTTATTAGAAAGCTGATAATTTAGCATGATTTATCTGACATACTAGATGATCTTGGTACGTGTCTGTATGTGAAAATAAAAAAATCCTGCATGTTTTATATCCTATAGCTTCTGGATGTTAAGTAGTGTTTGATCCCATAAATTCCTTGCATACACACCTGACTTAAAGGTCACTTGCTCCTCCAAGTGTCTGGTGGGACCAAGTCCTCGAGGCATGTTTGGTTATTTGTTGTTTAATAACAAGTATGGATATAAGCCTTCATAAGGAGCAGTGATAGGGACTTTAGGTACTGATGTTTCACTTCAAGATAAATAAGCATATAAAAACTAAGGAAATGGGGAAAAAAAAGTTTTCTTCCCTGAATAAATCTACAAGTAACAACAACAAAAAAAATCTTTTCGTTTAACAGAAGGTAAACTGCCATGTTAAAGATAGTAATTTTCAACTGTAAGGGAACGTTAACATTACAACCAGGGAAGCTGGTTTCATTTTCTCCTTGAAAGCCAGAATCAAATGGAGCAGCCTACCAAAGAGGTCCTGTGACAAGAAAACAAACATTAGTCCTAAGAGTGGTTTGTTCTGGGTGATGTTAGTCATGTGTGCAGTAGAGCAAATTGCTAATCAAAAAGTTACGGGAATAAAGCACAGTTATTAGACCAATTGGTTTAAGTTTCTAAGAGGGTATTTTAAAGAAATAGTCTATTCACAGAAGCGTAACTGCTTCACTGTGCTGCATTCACATAGGTGGGAGAAACAAGTAGGGAGGAACAAAAAGAGACAGTTACGCCTTATTGCTTGTCTTTTAGTTCATACTGCAGTTAATGTGAACTTCGTATCTCAGATAACTTCAAGCTTACTTCTAACACAAGCAAGACTGAAACTAACAGCTACGAGGAGCAAATATCTGTCAAGCGACCCATCCAATATGTTTACAGTATCGCACTGAAAAAATTTTGAACTCTTGGTTTCCACTGAAAGCCCTTGGAAGTTACAATTCTCAATTCATCCACCTTCCTCTGGAAGAAACCACACTGAAAGTTACTACTGTGTGTTCACTGTGCCTTCCTTGGATACTGTGCAGAACTCTGCTAATTGAGCAACAGACTTGCAGTGTTTTAATCATTTATTTTCATGGCCAAAACACAACTTCTCAGCGCTTGCAAGTATGGGAGTTTGGCTACTGAAGGTGTCAGAATGAAAGACGTTCATTTGTAACTAGGAATTTATTCTTACCATGATGGAGACCATTCTTCTGATACATGTTACTTGGTAATGTATCTCGATTCCACTCAGATGGCCTCAGCATTCTTTCTTGTTGTGATGGTGTTAGTTGTTCGCTGTACTCCCAGAAGTATCTTCGCTTGCCTCTTTTCCGAGAGGATATTGCCGTCATTTCTTTTAGATCCTCCACAGAATCATTTTCATACCCTAAAAGGATGCATTGCATTGTTTATATAATGTTGACAAAACTGTTTCTAGCCCTTTAATGGTGGGCTGAGTATTCAAGTCAAGAGCAAAACCACAGACGAGGCCTGTTTTACATTATCTAACAGACTTCGTTTTCAGCGTCAACTACTACTGGGTACTTGCTTTAAATCCAGGGATAGACATTGAACCACTGATGGTGCTTTATTAGTTGAAAAGAGACAAATTATTTATGCATTGAAAGCCCCTTTATGTTCTCTGGCCCCTTAAACTCTATTGCTCTTCTCCCCCACAATCCCACCACTGCAAAGTACAGACAACAGCTGTTGGAGAGTGTTCTTCCATCGTTACAATTTTCTCCATGAATTTGCAGGAACATAATCCTAACTCGCCTCCACATTTTAGTTAATGTCTAATCAAAAAGCATGGAAAGAGAAGCAGATAATAAAGATGGATTAGCAAAACACTAATAAAAAAAGCAAAATTACTCAGTTACAGAATATCCTGAGTTGGAAGGGACCCATTAGGATCATTGAGTCCAATTCATGCTCTTCCTTGAGTTTGAATACCTTCGGGAAATAAATCAAACCACCCACCTCTATTAGACTAGAGGAAGGGGGCTCTGTTATCAGGACAATGACCTAAAGCCCGTAAGAAAAGACCATCTAAATTGAAGGGATCTGGACACAAGCTGTTGAATCTCTTCCTCATCTCTTTAGTGGGATGAAGAGAAATGATCCACAGTAAAGCTACACAATATTTTAGAGGTATATTATGATGCACTTGATATGATGAACTGTTCGTGAAGTACACTGAAACTGTAATGCCACTATCCACACTGCATAAATATTTATACCATAATTATGTAAACACAAACCAGTTTTTAAAATCCTACGTGTGCTTTAGAAAATAAAGACAACCTACACTAAGGTTAAAAAAACTCAAACCACTGCATCGCCTTTTGTACTAAAATGCTATATAAGAGTTTACATTTACTTAAAAAAAGAATGCATTTCAAAACATCATATACACCGATGAAGCTTAAAGAAAAGCCAACCACTGAACAGACTGCAAGCTTAACAAGCCTTGACCCCATATGCTTGAGCTCTGCTTCATCTTTTAACAGTAGCACAAAGATCACTTACTTCTTTTTAAAACAGTCCATTCAATTAGTCTGTTTGCACTTGAAAAGCCAGTCGAAAGAGGAAAAACAAACTTTCTTGCTTTGGTCTGACTCTCACCTCATAACCCAAAGTATTAATAAAAGTTAGGTGCGCAGAAGGATGAAATCAGTTCTAAAGTTCCGTTTCTAATAATTTCATCAACTCATTTACTTTGATTCTCTAGTTTATTAAAAAGACAGTATTTTAAAGGCAAATCAAACAATGAAACATGCTTTATAAAACATTTTTTCTTGTATAGCCAAAATTATTACGACCATTTACATTAAATATAGTTCAAATACCAAAAATATTTTTAACTGTACTTCCATTTTATCCAAACGCTGTTTGACATAAGTATCAAAATACTCTCAAAAAACCCACTTACCTTCCACTTGAAAAAACATGTCAAGCTATGTAACTCATTATACAGATATGTATAAATTTAGCCCATCTTCATGATAACACAGAATTAAGCCAACTGATGAAAACAGATCTCTTTTAGAGCTGATGCGTACAAATGTACAAGGTTAAAATGAAGACTTCCTGTTTGCTTATTTAAACTATAATTAAGTTAGCAACTTAAATTATGTTGACTTAATGCATCCTGCCTTGCAACTCTAACATTGACCTGCTATCATTTTAAAGTTACATAGAATAATCTAGTGCACAATGTCCTAACCTAGTCCGTAACATACAGGAGTGCAACAAATCTGTTTAGCTCTTCTGCACTGTATTCATCTTCCTTGAATTCTCCTCTTAGCAAAGATCATATAGCAGTCTCACTTTCTTTGGCAGGCTTCTAAGAAATCTGAAAGGGTTCTTGTACTTACCTTTCAAGCCCTTCGCAAGTCCCTCCTAAAAATCTCTGTTTGCACCCCTTACTATGGTTTTAGGTTTAAATTCACCAGGGTTAAATTAAGTAAAACAGAGAACAGGATAGACATGACTTCTGCATCTTACCAGATTAAAAGCAAAAATAACCTCACCAAAACAAAACCAGAAAAACCCTTCTCTTTACCATTTAATCATACTGACTTCTGTCAAACCATTTATGAGTCTGTTTTCCCCCAGCTGATGGTCCAGGTGCTCAGAATAGATGCAATGCAACTTCTTTAAACAATCTCCATGTCTCTATAAGCACTTTTCCCTTTCAGCTATTTCTTTTCCAGTGCTACTGAAAACTGAATCTGTTGTTGCATCTCCCATTTCTGGAATCTCTTGACTACTTGATGGGAGAAGCAGTCATTTACAAATATTTCTATTAAATGAGATAGGTAAAACACACTAGTACTGGCAAAAAAAGTTGAAGTGCTAGAAAAGGCCTGGGCTGATAATTCCCATAATAAATTACCTTTGCAGGTAACCAAAATTGCTAAATCTGTATCATGGTGATACTAAAAACATTGTTGCCCAAACTTGCCTGACAGCCAGTCAGATTCCTAGCTATTTCTCGAAGTTCCTGAAGTTCACTATATCTAAGTATTTCCTCAGACAACACTTTAAGAAAGCATTTCATGCACTCCAAAAACATATGTGAAGAAGAATAAACAAAAGCAAACTGTGTATAAAATACATCAGAGGGTCAGCAATAACTAATAAGTCTTTGTCCTTTCAGTAAATTACATCTTCACTCTAAATTTATCAACTGATTTTGGTTTCAGTACTATGGAAGGTTAAATCTTCCTGTGCCATGCCTTTAGAAACTTTATCCACAGTATTTACCTTTACTTCAAAGGTAAAAAAGCAACACAAAGTACAAGAGTGACATAATTAAAATACCTTCTAATATAATCAAAACATATGGTGACACTTTTCGTATCACCATACTCGAGGTGAATGGCTTCATTCACTTAAAGTTCTAGGAAGCTTGTATAAGCCAAGGTCCTCAGTTACTGTACTGCACGATGTAGTTGTATTTAGAAGGCGAGAGCGATTGCTTAGCAGTAAAATTTGAACAAACGGCAAATAGTTAATATAATTCCACCAGCTGAAATCCCAGCATTTTAATATGACATGTCTTCTTCAGGGTTACCAGGCTTTCTGTGCAACATGCCTCCGTGGGCTGTGAAGCACTGTGCAGTACAGCAATCATTACAGAGCTGTAATAGCTACTCAAAGCCCCAGAAAGTAGAGGGAGTTCAATTCAGAAGGGAGGAAGAGGTTTTAAAATGCTAATAAAAATGTGTTATGTACATGTAAAAGTAACATAAAGGGCATAATGCTTAACAAGTTTAATACCAACTCAGAAAATCTACTTAGAAAATAATTTAATCTGAGAGTTCATTATGACAAACACTGACAAGCTTTAGGGAAGCTGCTGTTTTTAAAAAGGCAAAATTTCAGCTGCTTCCCCCCGCCCCCGAAGTTACATATTGCCAAATGTCTGAATACCTTAATTCTTATACTCTGCTACAAAGCACTTATAAAATGTGAATATTGTAATACTTTCTATAATGAAACTAATACTTGGTTACAGTCCTGTCCCTTTCCCTTCAGATTTTATTTTTACACAACGTTACCGCTTTGTTACCTTCTAGGTGAAGGTTAGTTCTTATTTCTCTTGTTAAGGCTCCATTTCTACATGCAGAAGAGAGGAATTCAGTATCCTTTGAAGACTCACTAAGTGTTACTGCTGAAAACCACCAAGAAACAGTTCTATTAGTTTCAGTGGTAGGTATTCTTTGGATTCTGTGGAAAACTGTACCTACAGTAGGACTTAAGTAATTATGAAATTATTTCACTCAGGCTATGACTTCATACCAGCTATCAAGAGACACAACTCTGGATAAATACAAAGCAACCTACTGAAGGACTAGAAAGCTCTGCACATCCTATCATCAAGCCACGAAAAAAGACGACAACAATTGCAGGTAGTTGCTCTATGATCTTAGCTACAAGCTAGGTTTCCTGTATTCTCTATTATTATTTTTGTTGCATGACCACCATTTATGCAGTTTTTCTCGAAACAGGGCAACAGAGACCTTATATAGCTCTCATTAATTTAATTTTGCAAAGCACTTAGAAAATCTGGGATGAAAGATCATAATTTAAGAACAGTGTTGCTCATCTGTAACTATAAAGCACTCAAAAGCATTCTTTCCCACTTGGCAGACAAATCCGTTAACCTCCCTCTTAACAAAGCCCAACATTGCTGGTACCTGGTTCTGAGAAAGTATCGCTAATGTCGTCATCTTTATCATCCTCATAATCTTCTTCCTCATCATCATTTTCAGAGAGCTCGTGCTCACTGCCAAATCCTTCATCATGGTCCTCATCTTCAATATCGTCCTCATCATCCTCATCTTCCTCAGGGTCTCCTTTGGCTGACTGTTCACCCAAACTGTCTGTTACAAAAAGAGAATAGTTGTGCTCTTCTTTCTTCTGCGAAGAATCTGACACCGATGTGCTGGCAGAAAGACTGCTCTCCCCCACAATAAGCCCTGGGGTTTCCTGCGGTGGACTGAGGAGCAGTTCTTGAGTCTCTTTAAAAGGCAAAATAGGAGGCGTACTGTGACTATGTGGGGATTCTATTCCTTTTCTTTCTTGTCTCTTTGCTACAGCACCACAATAGCAGGTGTTTTCCTTTGCTGCATCAGCATGTGTCTGGCTCAGCACTGGTCTGCTCTGTGGTAAAGGATTGATCTTTACTTTTGCCTTTTTAACATAGTCTTTACATTCAACATGAATGTTCACCTTTTCATTATTGTACACATTGGTCTTCACCATGATTTGTGTACTGGAAGCAGGCTGAGTTGCAGGTTTGCTTGCCTTCTGAACACAGTCTGACAAAGGTGCCTCAGCCTGAACATTCTTGGAGGAACAGACTGGGGCTGCTGCTCTGGTTGCAATTTTTTTGGCAGGTAACAAAGAATTTAAAGGGTTTTGTTTTACACTAAAGAGCAAATCAGGGTAATAGAGTGAATCAGAAACAGGTTGGGAGTCCTCACTGTTAAGCTGAGCCAGTGTCGGTGTTTTGCTTATCACCTCTTCATCTTGGTATGGGCTTGAAAAGTCATCAAGGCCCAGGTAATCCACCTCTTTTGTTCCCCAGATGTCACAGCTGGTTAATTTAGTGTACTTAGTTAAGTCTTCACAGTAGGTGTCCCACTGCTCCCACTTTGAGGTGAGAGCAGCTTCTTTGTCCAGGATGTCTGTAAAAGACTCCAAGTTCTCAAGGTCTTTGCAGTCCTCCATTGAAAGTAAGTTGTCTCTGGAGCTTTGCTGATAGTCCATTTCTCTGTCCTGTGCATAATAAGACAAGTTAAAAATTAATACAAGAAAAGTATCAATCATCTCTGTCCTCTACTTAACCTAGTATGGTGAGCTTAACTCCAGTGAAGTGCAAAAGACTGATAACATATGAAGATACCTCAACTTCCAACTAAAAGCTTCTTTTGAGCGTCAGAATGAAGTCCACCTTCCATGCTTCAGCAGCAGATCCTTCTGAAGAGATTGCTAAAGATACAAGTCAAATGCTGCTGGATTCTTTTTCTGCTATTGCAGATTCATCTGGTCATCAGGAACTAGACTAGTACCAATATCCGTGTATTTACAATATGAAAGATACCACAGGCAAACTTTTCTAGTCTCTATTAACCTAGGTCAATCTTTGCTGCGTGCTTAACAGAATATGCTCAAGTTTACCTGGAAAACTCATTCTAACATGATCAATTAACAACTATGAGCTACCTTTCTCCTTTGATGCAGGGGGAAAAAAAAAAAAGAATGCTAGTATAAGTAGCTCATGAGTCAACTTTTATTTTGCTTTCTCTGCATTCACAGCTTGGGTGAAGTAGCATATAGCTGCTCTTGCAGAAAAGATTGTAACAAAGAGTCTCAAGCACCATTACGTAACGTCAACACAGCTCTATTTGAGACTTGTATATCAAGCCTCTCCTGATGGCCAGCTTTAACAAGCGTCTATTGAGGAAGCATCACATTTGCTGGACAAGCAGTTAGGCTCTTCCCTAATCAGTAGCTAGCAGTAATGAATAATCTTCTAGCATTCTTGAACAAATACCCCTTTATTACTACACGAACTCAGGGTATTAGTCAAGGAGAGGAAGTTATGTACACACACGGAAAGATGACCTACCAGTTCATACATGAAGTCTGGATCTGAACTGCTTGCCAAGAGATCCGTGCTCATCAGAGTCTGCTCTGAAAACACATGGCTCCGAAAGGCGTCCCCAAAAGGAGGGTCCATTCCACTCACACTGGGCTACAACAAAATTGATACTGAGATTTGAAGCATGCTATAAAAAGACATATTCTTTTCTTCAACAAAACATAAGGAGTATTGCCATTTCATCCAAATCTCTGAACTTGTGCTATACTTGCATCTGGAAGGTTCTTATCCACACAGATAAGCATCTCATTTCTCAGAGCGAGAAAAATGCTTTAAGAGCTGCTAACAACATGCAGCGCTCTAATCAAAGGACACATTTGTATTCATCATATAGCTGCAAGAGCATTGCTCATTCATTCTTTTTTGTTGGTTTGAAATTCTGATGCGTTTGCCAAGTTTAGGGATATGTTAGCATTTGTAGAAGAGGAGAGTGAGTACTGGCAAGATCTGCGAGTATCAATAGGCACTACACAATTGCAGGGCCTTCACCCTAATACAAACCATTTTGTACTAAAGAAGTGTCGACTGGTTTTAGAACCCATAAAACTTTCACCTGAGATTGTAACAAAAGCAAAATTTATTACAACTAAGTCAAGAGTGTTGTATCTCTCGAGAACGAAGTGGAACTTTGCAAAAAAACATTATGCAGGATGACTGGGCATGCAGGGAATGGGCAGCAAGGCATTCTGCTACATTTAATTCCAAACCTCTATTTCTCTTCTAGACACACTTGCCCTAAGGGTTGGGAAGGGAGAAACACTGTACTGCTGAAAGTCATTCAGTGTGCTGATGTGTGAATCACTGCAGTAATAAAAGGCTGCTCTCCAGGCATCCACCCTCATCAAGACGACAACTCTGCTGAATCTTGCTGTGTGAACAAATACAGTACCAAGAGCAGCAACATAGCTTCCACCATAGACACTACTAGGACCCTAAAAAATATACACCATTTAATCTCTTATAAATTCTCCCTGCTAATGCCAGTCAAATCTGCTCTTAAACTTACTTTTTTTTTTTTAAAAATAAGGAAGCAAAATTATTTACAGAAGCAAATAAAATCGTAACAGACTTACCTGAGGCATTTCCAAGCCCAGATTCCCCAAATCCAATTCCAAACTTCTTGTTTTATTCACTTGTAGATTCCTTTCCAGCTTTACTTCAGTCTCGGTGAGTTTACACAATCCATGCAATGAAATTTTTCCTTAGGTTAACTTTGGTTCACCCTGATGGACCTCTTCTATTTGTAGGCTTCTGTGTAGAACAAACACAGCAAACCCCCAAGAAGGTAAGTAATCCTTCACCAAAAAGGTAGTGCTTAAAAAAAGTGAAGTAAAGACAAAAATTTCCCCTAAAAAGTGATTATTCCTCATGCTGGAATATATAGCAATTTTCTTCCCCTGCCATCTTTCAACGAATGAAAAGCCACAGATGCTACAGAACAGAGTTCCTGCAAAAATCTTTTTGGCTGAGTTACATTTTGTTGCCTTTTTTCCTCGCTACCGAGACCACAAGCTCTACAGACATATGAAAAGAAAAGCCTGCCTAATTGGAAATAATGACTAGCATACTGCTGGGTATACAAGAGAGAAACAATCTTTATGACTAATATAACAGAGCCAATAAATTCTAAAAATGTGCTAGGCAAACGTCTCAAAATACTAATTTCAAAATAGGCAGTAATACTGTTTCAGCCGTATCTCCTCCTTTTCTTAAGAGATTAATGCATCCAGCATCAGATAAGATTATATCAATCACTCATACAGCAACATCTAGTGGTAGAGGGATTACAGCAAGCATGCTCACTGTCCAGCAGTAGAGGAAGGAAGAGACAGAGTTCTGCAACACAACAAATGAAAAATTGTGCCAAATTCAGAGTTGCCTAATAAAATATCTTCTCTATTAATTTCAAGTAAGGCACATGTTGAAATTGGTCCAATTTATCTATTACTAATTTTACCAGTTTAGTAGTTTCTACAGACCCGCTGCTACTTCAGATGTATATCTAAAGACTTTTCCGAACCTCATACCCTGCTTAATCCTGCATTTTTTAACAATGTAAGGAAAAACTGAACTGTAGAAAAGCAAGCACCTTAGCACAAACATCAGTACCTATATCTACACTAAACGTATGACAAAAGACTCATAAAATAAGTTACAGAAAGTAAAAAAGAACAACGTTATATCAAAAACAATAATAAAAAATAATCCATGGTATCAAACCTCAGTATCTAATGTAACTACATTGTCTTCAAGGATGCTGCTTTCTTACTGTCTTGCTTGCCTGCAAGATCCCTACCCTTATATAAAAAGTCTCTCTAACAAAAAAGAAGCATTAGAGGAGCATAATCAAAAACCTGATCCATCATACTTGTACAGTGTTTCAGCATTATCAGTTAAAATGTATTTGTTTCTTTGAGCAGAATTCTTCACTCAGCATTGCTCCTAAGTCAGACTTCGGTGCAATCTGCTCAGGCTATGTTTATTATCTTGTTTTGAAAAACAAATAGTAAAGTAAAAGTGTTCTCCTACACTGGAGCTATGCTCAGAACCCTCCTCCCAGCAGCACATGACAGCATCCCTGTGATTATTCCTACTTTCAGATAGTATCTCAGCTATTTTGTTATATTCAGCATACATACCATCAGACTGTGGTAAAAACAGACACTATGCAAAAAGGTCTTTACTCATCAAAACATACTGCTTTTCAAATAGCGGCTAGAATATAAAGAATAACAATTACAAGTCCAGTTATGCACAGTTCTCAGTAAAACCATGCTACCAGTGCCAAAGCAAGCCTTTCCCTGTAGAGCCCCGTGTCAAGTAAGAGCCAGTTCCTTCTGAGAAAATTTTCTTTCTGCTCTAAATCTTCCAGGGAACTCTTTTACTTATCTTAAAGTGACATTTAAAACTAAGTTTGTGTCCCATGGCAACATGCCTCAACAACCCCCATCTCCCTTCACCCAGCAAAGGCCACACCGCAGCAGAACTAGTCCTGGCTGTGCTATTAAAGTGGCACGAACAACTAATTCACTTTTCAACCTAGCCTGATCTAGGAGAAAGGGCCTGTTGTTTAAAACAAGTAAATGATGTTCTCATACACAAAGAAAGAGGCGAGAAAGGTATCATCTTTAATACCAATCTACACCTGAGTAGTATCTTACTTTCCACACAGAGTGGCAGACATTGATGTCTTTTTCAACAGAACATCAGATTAATACTTTGACGTCAACACCAGACCACCACCACCACCACCTGCATTCGCATGGGAGACTGTCAAAGTTCTGCCACTGCATGATATAAAGGGGAAAGAAAGGAGACGTTTGCTGCTGCTTTACTGGTTATTCTTTGCTATGTTTTTGTTAGAACACGTACCTCAAGCCATTCCACTGTCTTTCACACACAACTAGGAAAGGGGGATGAAACTTAATCTGTACTGACACGGATTTCAGTAACAACTGACCAACGCTTCCAAGCGTCAGAACCAGGGAGCTTTTGGATCATTTACAAATCCTCAAAACAGACACTAAACGTTCAAAATACTTTTACCATCTCAAAGACTGGAGTAATCTTTTAGCTATAAACTTACAGCACCATTTAAGAATGACAGTGTATGTCTTCCCAGGTCAAAGCAGTATATCAGCTAATCTGATTGTTCCCCTAATTCTCTTTATATTTCATTCTTGACATTTTATGATATTAATATTTAAATGTGATCTGAATCCCGTTAGGATCTATTCAAGTATTCTACAACGTAAGATTTTTCTTGGTAGCTCTACGGAGGGAGGAAACATGGTGAGGCCATAAAAAGACAGACACTGCCTCAGGCAGCTACACAATCTAGGCATGCTTCATGCCCGCAACAAAGCAGACCTACTTCTGACTGCTTTCTAAATTTCCCAGAATCATTAAGATGTTCATTGAAAGACTCCCAGTGTTCACACTTAACTACCAGTATTTTTTCATGAACTGGTAAATTAATATGTATAGTAGAAGTCAACGATACGTATGGAAGCACAGATGTAAAATCTGAACTTGCTGTGAAGGAAAGTAACTTTGTAGACCACAGCTGAAGTCCCATTTTTACGGAATTTATCATTATTGGCACTCTCAGCTCAAGACTGAGTTAGAACAGAATAGTACAGTTGTTACGTTATCTATAATGAATACAGATTTGAATGAACTGAAAGATCTGTGGCAGAGCTTAAGAACTGCAGTATAAGAATTACTGAAGATAAATATAGCAGGCATTTCTACTTCAGGACAATTTTCATTAATGCCTTACATCAGCCCTTCCCAAACGCAGAGATACAGAGGTGAAATCCTGTAAGTTGCTTCACACCAACTGAACCGCAGGTGGAATACACAGCCCAAGGCACCGGGCAGGGTGCCGCCACTCCTTTTGGCAGCAGCCTGCAGTTAAATCAGATTAAGGTGATTAAGGAACCAGTCCCTGAGTTGGTTCTGTGTCTGCAGATTCTTGAGTCACATCAGTGCAGAGCTGCACCCCTGCTCCTGGGAGAGGGCTCGCTCCTTCTCTTGGGCGTGAGGAAGGGCAAAACATCTCAGGAACTGCTATGTTCATCTAACAGTTATGAATTTGGGGTCCTGATGGAGGCATGCGTATATACATTGGTTAAAATCCCCATCGATCATCAATAAGTAACCAAAACCTGTTCTATAGAGTTAATAATTCATTAATCTAATGACAAATCCTAATAAAAATCCTCAGCATTTATATTTACTTTTTGAAAACACGCATTTAAAATAATTTAATAGTGGTCCCAAGACACCTGGGAAGACTGAACTTCAAACAATCTAATGGCAGGCTTATTACATGACATTACTGATGCAGCAGTACACTTAAATTGGCAGACAGCAGGACCTAAACTCAAAACATGCAGAATTAAGGAGACACATGGCAGTTACCATGCACGTTCCATTTCCCTAGACTAGTAAAACACCCTTCTGTGACAATACATTATCTCCAAAGAGTATCTATAAGAGAAAAACCTAAACCGCCAGCTTTCAGCTTGACAACTCTGAAAGTCTTCCTCAGTCACCTGTATGAATCATTTGTACTGTAGCTATAACTAAAGTTGCTATTTCTGTCTCAATTCAGATCTGTATTTTGTACAATTTGAAAAGCACACAGAGCGTCGCCATACCATTTTGTTGATTGTACAGTGCTTATTATCACAGCAGCTAAATGCCTGTTATAAATACATTACATGAACAATTACACTTTTCATGATGGTGACTGTGCATCATACAGCACAGTTTGTCAAAGTTAATTTTTGATGCAGATAAAAAAATAGCACGTCACGAGAGCCTGTCAATACTAAATCTAAAAACTCAGGCTAAAACATTCAAAATTACAAACTTTGAATTTCAGAGAATGTGCAAAAACTATGCCACGTATTTTAAAAGAGCCATTATGTACTATGCAGTGTTTGCTGTATATGGACATTTTATGAAGTACTACAGTTAGAGATGCAAGAAGTTCTCCTACGCTTCCCTTAAAAACTTTTTTCCTTCTATAGTTTGTGCCAATTTGTTTCCTATTACAGAACATGCTCTGCTCAGCGCAGTCTTCAAGCGCAGAACGTATTTTTCTTAGTTTTCTTTCTGAGTGTAATGTTCTTGGTTTTTTTTTTTTGCTTCTTTCTACATGATTCTTCAATTATTAGCCAAACTTAAAAAAACGCTTTTACTTTTCTCCCCAACCACAAAACCACTAAGTTTTCTTTTGTGATTTTTTTTTTTTTTTTTTTTTGTAGCAGGTGAGCAAAGACACTCTTGTAAAAGGTCTTCCTCTGCTTCCACCCACCGTAGCCTCATTCACCTGCTCATCCAAAGAAGCCAAGTCCCTCTACCTTCTCAGTAATGTATTTGTTTTAAAATGCCAACATAAGCATCTAAGACATTATGCTCTTTGCCTTCTCTATCCTGGAGAGCAAACAACAGCTGCTTAAGACACGCAGATCCTAAGTTTGATGGAGCATTGCCATTTGAAAGAACTAAAGATAGGAAGACTGTTTCACTTCTTTTAAGCCTCTTCCCTTCAGGAGAGGGAAACTGCTACTTCACTGTCTTTGTTCCTTTTCCTCTGCTGACCTTCCCTTCCCCCAGTATTATTTTTCTAATCCTACTTGCAGACAGACTTCAAGATCTGGAAGTGATACCACTAAACAGAAGCTCTGGTCTCCAATCACACATGCAACACCCCAGGTAAAAGAGCTGATGAAGTACCAA